TCTGCCCTGAGTTCCACATGTACAGCTCCAGAGCACAAAATTCTGAATTCAAAGTAAGAGATGAGAAAGAGCTAATGTATTCTGTATTATACAAAGTAAACAGAACTCAAATATTAAGGGAACATCATGCATACTTTCACCCACAAAATTGGCATAGATGTTTTCAGGACAAACATTAAAGAAAAATATGTTCAAAAACACAAGAAATTGTTGTTAACTTGCTCATGTTGACAAAGCCACATCTATTATGTTATTTTGAAGGGATTAAAGTCAGTAATGAAACAGATTTGAAACTTGCCTTCAAATGTCAAAATGTTTACTACTATTTTTTCTCCCAGCTAGGACTTCAATACCTGGGAGATGTAGGGAGCTGTTTTAAGGAAACAACACTCAATTTTCACAAAAGTGGCATAAGGAAGTTGTATTTTTCACATTCCTTCTGGTACTTCAAAGATGTGTAATCTCCCAACAAAGAATTGAGTACAATTTCTCATATACAAGTGCAAAAAAGTTTTTACAGAGAGACATTTTGATCAAAGATTCTAATTTCCTCTGCAGAGTTTTTGTCATCCACACACCGTTGCAGCTGCAATAACACTACATAACCCTAAACGACACTGTTTGTTTTTCTAATATAACAACCCAAATTGCCTCCTCTTGTGACTAATTAAGCCTGCTTATTATTTCCTGTTGGGTGGGACCTGGCAGTTGTGTTTATATGTTTTTGAATTTTTTTAATTGCTGAAGTTAAAATTTTCAAGTATTTTCAGTCATGAGCAGATGTATTACTTGACAACAGTATAAAAAATACAGAATGTTTTGGAAATTAAATAAATCACAAGTACTTGAGATTTCACAAGTGTGGTGCTCTAAATCAGAATTGTTGGGGGCATAATTATTTTATGAAACCTAAACCAAATTTATTATAGCAACTAAACAAATTTATTATAGCAAGTAACAACTAAATCTGAAGAAAAAAAAATCACAGTGTAAGAAAATTTCCTTGTCAAAGAGTAACTGGACTACCTAAAAGATATTCTATTAGCTATGTTTGCAAATAGAATTTTTGTTTTATTCCTTTCCCAAGTATCAAAGTAGTGAATTAATATGTCAAGAGGAAATACTAAAATGCCATAAACATACAAACTTTTTCCATGATATTGTTGGAATAAAGTTAAAATGTTTTTGTTAAAACACATTCAAAGCAACTTAAACCAAAGGAATAAACAGTATTCAAATATATGGCAAACATATTCTGGTACATGTATAATGCTAAGTAGATGTAAAAATACTGAGGTTCAACACAGAAAAACAGCTGTAGTAACTACATTGTACTTTAGCCATGTGGGGTGCTAATGTTACTTGAACTCCTGAATATGATGTTAAAATGCTGTTACTTTTTCCCCCAGATTAAAATCAATCACTGAATGTTCTTTGCAAATAGCTCTAGCTCCTATAAAAGCTGTTCATCAAAGTCAAATTTTAACTTAAGAAGCCACACACACCCATTTAATAAGCCTGAAGTGTAATGAATCATTAATATTAGGCTGGAAACCTGTCCCTATTTTTTTTCCCCTTCTGGCAGGGGCAGAGGGGGCACGGGAAGAACAGTGTTTCTGAGAAGCCAAGCACACGTAACCCCCAGCTGCAGAAGTGCATCTCACACGAGGTTTGCCGTCTCACCAGGTACAGTCACACGGGCTCTGGGCTCCCACTGAAGACACAGTCCCTCGCTTAGTAAGCAGAAAATAGCCAGGGCTGTTTCCACTGCTATCACAAAGGTGAACTAAGGGATTCTCAGTGTCCTTTTGGTTCTGAACAGCCACTGCAGTCGTAACGGGACAGAATCAACTGCTTACACAGCACCAGTAAGGGGAACCAAACAGGTAGAGCTGAGTCCAGCACAATCACAGTTTACAAATTTTACAAATTTACAAATTACACGGTTTACAAATTACAGATGCAGAGTGGGTAACTAATGTTTAATTTTTTGCTTTTTCCAAAGAAATTGCAAAACTCCTGCAGTCCCAATGTTGTACAGTAACCAATGACACGACAAAACTCACTTGGATTAAACTAATAAGACCAAAAACCCACCTGCTTCCTTTGTTTATACTTTATTTGTGTGCTAAAATCTGCCCGAGTCTAAGCGGATGGAAACACGACCTCTAGAAGAAGCAAAAAATAAAGCCAAACCCAAGCAAAAAAAAACCCAAACAAACCCAAACCACGCAACTCAGTTCTACTTTGCTCTTGATCTGCTGACAGTTTGCTTGGAGGACACAATGAAACATGGGGCTATTTCAGTTGAGTATTTTAAATAAAGGGGGGGAAAAAGTGTATCTATCTGCCCCTGCTTTTCAAAAGAACACAGGAGTTGAAAGGGGGAAATAATGCTTGGAGCAGAAGCTTCCTCCCTGCACATGATCTGTCAGCTCCACCTAAGTGCTAAACAAAGGATTTTACCTCGAGACCATAATAACTTGAAACAACTTTTAAGGCCTTACTTTTGAAACTGTCAACAGTGCTTCATCAAAACACATGTTCAAATGAAAGCACTGAAGAAGATTCACCGAATTATGTCTATGCTCAAAGTTAGATGCAAACTTAGTGCCTGACTGACCTAAGGGCACAGTTAATGACAACCATAATTACGATCTTATCAACACAGAACTTCATAAAAGGTTCACAGCTTATTTAAAGGACATCAAATTACAACTTCCACTTCTAAAATACCTCTGTCAGAGCTAAAAGTGACCAAACCCAGGAATTGCTTTTTTCATTACCTGCCTGAAACATTCATTATCTTCTCTTTGTTTTGTAATAGCTGTGTTATTTTGTCAGAGAACTAAAAGAAAGCTATCAGTATGTTGAAAGAAAGAATTTTTAACTAACTGCAGAGTTTTCATTAGTTGCTTACATAAACAAGTAACAACTTTCTTTATGACTGACACTTTTGAACTTAGAGTTGGCAAACACACACAGCACTGAATAGTGAAAGTATTTTAGCAAGCACAGTTTGAAGCAATCTATGAAAACACAGGAGAATTAACCAACATCTCTGAATTTTGTCAGGTGAATTTTCTCAGCACTAGCTATATCAAAAAGCCAACTGTAAGTCAGTAAAAGATATATTGTCTTTCACTGTATCTTTGCAACTTCAAAAATGAACATCTAGTTTGCATTACAAGCACCTTCTACAGTAAAGACTCACAGGCCTTCAAACTTAGTTGCTGTCCTTCCAGAGTCAGCAATATGCACAATAATATTAATTGCTAACTGAACATATTTCTGGAGTTTGCACGTGTTCATTGAGAAAGTGGCATGGGAAGGTTTTGGAAAAGGCAGCAATGAAAAGGAAACTCAAAAATCTATTAATTAATAAATTTATGTCAATAATATTTATTTGTATGTATCTATTATTGAAATCACATAATGCCACCTCAAGGAAAAAGTAAATTAAATTTATCATTGAATTTTTGGAAGTAAAATTTTAAAATAAACTTACATTTATTATTTAAATTAATTTTCAAAAGTAAAATACACAGTAACAGAGAAACAACCAGAACTGCTATTTTTCAACAAATGAAGCAGGATATCTTCAAATGTGCACATAAATGAAACACCACTCTCTCTCCCTCTTATTCCTTTTCTCTGTCCCAGCACTTATATCCAGCAAACTCTTCTGATTTAAAAATAAATACTACAAAAACACTACCAAGGTGTTGCTGGAACAAAGTGAATACAGATAGGAAGTTAATCTGTTACAATACTGTTTTTTAAAAGCATACAACACAATGCAAAGTGATATAAAGCTGTTCTGTTTTATAATCTTAACTCAAAATGTATTCATATCTTGCATGAGAAACTGATAACTCTGCCACTGACTGACTTTCTTTCTTTATAAAGGGGACAAAGGATGGAATGAAAAAAAGCTTTTTCCCTTCTGTTTCGTATTTCAAATTAAGTTCTTTAACATATCTTGCACAGATTTCAGCCCTGAGATTCCCTGAAATCTCTGCACTGTGGCACATCCTAACAACAGTATTTCAGCGTAACTGTTAGCTAAATCCTCGGGCCAGGGAAAATTAGGGAACAGAGCATCTGCTTCTGGATAGTTGCAGGCTACTTTTTTCTCTTTCATTTTCTCATAAACTGTAGTAATTTCTGTAGATTACAAAACATTGCAGACAGGATGCTGTCTTAGAATGACGTCTTGGTTAACGCTTTCCTAGAATGGGCAGCTACTTTCTTTCATGAAAGAACAGAAATGCTTTGACTGAAATACTACTTCAAAAGTTGATACCGCACAGTACATAGCGGAGAGACTCCAGATGTCAATAAAATCGAAGTGCTATTTTCAACCCTGTTCCGTGAGCTTGACAGCGCTGGTGGCAGCGCCCTGCAGCACGTAAGGCACAAGGCGATAGAGCAAAGAATTCATCCACTTTTCTCTGTGAACAGAGTAAGTGAAAAGAGGACTTATGAAGCACAAAACATGCCAAATGTAATCAGCACTTTAAAACCCTTACAAAAATCGTGATAACAATAATCTGTATTTCCTTTAAAACGTTATTCTTAAGCAAAGATTTTGTGCATTTTAAGGCAGGAAGTTGAAATGCAGTAGATGATCCCTTGCCTCCAAAGTCTTATTCCCCAAATGCTCATAGGCACTGAGATGTACTTATTTTGAAAATACGCAGCAGTACACACATGATGATAATGGCCCAAGAGCACATACCTCATGTCACAGAAACAATACTCCGATTCACATTCACGGAAAATAAGTCAATAGCCTCCTTCACCAAAGTTACCATCAAAGCAGAAAGCACCAATATATGAAAAAAAAAATCGTTGTGAAGATGAGAAGTTCGATATTCTTGCGTTTCAAGGTCAAATGTAACCGAGAAATCAGTGCAGTAATACTCCCCGTCGCGACGGGAACTTTTCGGTTTCACCACCTGCAACTAAATTACCTTTAAACCCTCACTATTTCGTACCTTTTAACACACTCTGCGAGACTCTCGGGCAGCACCCAAGGTCCGGTCACCCAGAGCTGCCGGTACCACCCCGCGTTTTCGTGGTGACCACCCGCACTGCCGGCCCCGGCCGCGTCCCGGGCTCAGCACGTACGTGTGTCACCTTCGAAACCAAAAGCGACAAACGCAGCACCTCCTTTGCCTACGAGCACCCGCTGTGCGAGCGCCACAGGCTGGGCTTGCAAATTTCGCTCCCTTTGCTGTCAGGGACACCCCTTCCCTGGCCAGCAAGATCCCGGTAACACAGCGGCAGCACAGCCGGCATCCCGCGCGCTCCCCGGGCTGGCTGCAGGCGACAGCCGCGGCAATCCCTGCCGGCGCCCAGGGCACAGGCGCGGGGCTGGAGCGGGCACAGCCTCCCGCGGCACACCGGAGCTCCGGGGGTGCCCAGCCCAGCGAAATGCCGGCTCCCGCCCCGCTCATGCGGGACAGAGGGAGCGCAGCCAGGCGATGAGGACGCGGAGACAGGGGAGAAAGAAGGCAGCGAGCGGCGGGCCAGGGGCCGCCTGGGGCTCACCGGGACAGATCTGGCGGCGCCTCCTCCTCGTCGCGCTGTGCCGCCGGCGGTCCCTCAGCGCCGCGCCATGTAACGCGGCGTGCCGCCCGCCTCCCGGCTCCGCGCGGACTTTCCCCCTCCTTCCCTCCCGCCCCACCGGCGAGGGCACCCGCCCGGCACCGGCCTGCGCAGCCTCCGCCCCTGCCCCCGGCCCGCCGCACTTCCTGGCTGGAAATTCCCGCTGACGCTCCGGCAGCGCTGAGGGCCGCGCGGGCGGGGCCGGGCGGCAGCGGCGGCCGCCGGGGCTGGAGGAGGCGCGGCCGCGGCGGAGAAGGAGCCGGGGAGCGCCTGCTGCCGAGCCAGCCGCTGGCCACGGAATCCCTGAGCCGGGGACAGGCCCTCCCGCCCGGGGAAACCGCGCAAACACGCGGGTCCTTTCATCCCAGGGCAGGCACCGCCGCCGCAGGGATAATCCCGTCCTTGCCCACGTTCCTTGGCCCACGGCGGCATTCGCGACACCTCTGTGGAGACCGGCCCGACCCGGTGGCTGCCAGAGTTTGTTTGACCTCTAAAAGTAAAGCTTGGAAGGGGAGGGAGAGACTCTGCATGGAGTGAATTTAACCCACCTGATGCAGTGTCTGGCACTTTCACAGGCACTTCATTTAAAGGAAATTTACCAATTCTTACCGCCCGATGCCTGACAACATCACTGGGCAGGGGGTACAGGATGCACAGCACCATTTTTATGTAGATTTACACAGTTTCTGACAGAGCAGGCTCACGGGTAACTTGACTTCTGTTGAACAGTGCCAGCCATCAATAATATGATTTTTAATACCAGAATCCAGGTTTGCAGCATAGTAATCAAGTCTCTCGGACACATTTAACCAAGGCTGAAACAAGTCAGCTAGTGCCACACTTAAATGCTATGTAAAACAAGTTAAAATATCTTTATGCTGAATCCTAAACGTCTGGTTTGCTAAGGGTGTCTCAGATGAGCATCCAGCATAGCTCGCCGAATGTGTGTTTGCACAGAAAGTCAGCTGCACACCTCTGGGGAGTTTTGTTATGCTAAGGCCACATGACATGTGGCTTCACGAATGACACAAAGAAAAATCATCATTTAAAAGAAGGATTTAAAACTCCCCAAACATATAAAGGAACCAAGGAATACGACTGTTGCTTTTTTTGTTTTTGTTTTTTTTTGTGTTGAAGCAAGGAATTGTAACCTAGAGCATAAATATGCTCAAAAGGAATAGAGTAAATTCATAAACCACCTGTTGACTGGAACAAAATGAAATGAACCTACTCCGTTTTACCATGAAGGGAGTAAGTTCTCATGTTACATTTTGTGCCACATCTCTGGGATGGAGCACAGAGACACTATTTAAAATGAGTGCTGAGAGTGCAAAAGAGAGCTCAGGATTTTCTCTGCTTTCTTGAGAAATGACATTTCCTACATGTTACACATAAATATGTATGAAGAGAGAGTAATTTCCTTTTTTTGGATTGCCACTCATGCTCTGTGATGCAATTCTAAAAATGCACTCCCCCATTCTCTTCCCGGTATAAACTGGGAGTTGAGAGTGACTCAGCATTTCCTAGTAAAACATGTTTTCCTTATTTTATGGGGATATTCCTGGACATTTAAGACCCAATATTAATTTTTTTAATGGAAGAAAAGACACTGAATTAATAGGACAAGTGAGAAAAGAATTGTGTCCCAAAGCCCTTGAAGGAGGAAGTCTAGATGGATTTTAAATACAAAGAAGTTTCAAAATAAGATTCATTTGAAAGGAAAGGTGCCATGTCATAGCTAATCAAAGGTGTGCTCACAGGGCAAAACCTGTATGAACAAGTACCAGGAAATCTGACGAGGTGGATATGTTCCAAAACTTAAGGAGACTTACCTGGTGGATTTATTTTAAAAGGACATGTATTCAAGTACTCAGGCTCAGCTTTTCCTGTGAAATCTTAAGCAGCTTCCACAAAGATCTAGGTTTTACAATAAAATCCTCTTCTCAATTACATTTAAAGCATAAATTTGCCTTTTTTAGAGCCTAATACTGTAACTTAAATGTCATTTCTACTGACACCCACAGTAATGCCAGGCTGTAAGCCCACACTTTGGTAAAATTATCTTCACAGGACACTCTAGATAAATGTACTGCTTTTTAGCACAGGATTTCCACTTGAAGAGCCAAAAAATTCCATTCCAACCACTGAGGAAATCGGGCAGATAATACAGGCTCAGTGGTTTGCAGTGATGGAGTGCTGCCTATTTCCTGAATAACACTGGTTTCTGCTATTGCCATCACGTTACTGCAGTGCCTGGACAATGCCAGCCCAGAGATGAAGAGCAGGTGATCACACCTGGACCCAAAGGAGCAAATGCCTGCTCTTGAGCAGAGGAGAGCTGTGTGAATTGGTTGTAGCTGTGTCTCTGGTGGCTGGGCAGGTGCTCTGAGGGAAAGGCTTTCCAGCTGTACACTTAACCAGGCTGTTTCACCTCAATCAGGTGGGGTGCATTTAAGTTTCCTGATATGCAGATGCAGTTTAGAAGCTGAGTCTCTTCTCTGCTAGGTTTGCTCTGGAAATACAGATACACAGTTTTCTTTCCAAAGTTAGAAGTCTTTGGCCTCAGTATTTTTTAATCCTGTAACTGATGATAGATAAACATCTAAGTCAAGCAGAGATTTTAAAAATAATCAATCTTTAATTGATTGCCTGGATTGGAAAAATTCATGAAAGTTTCTTACATTATTTGTCTTCTGTTTCTGACGTATGTATTGGAATCAGGTTAGGCTCTTTTCATTCCCTTTGACGTAGCAGGTTTGAGGCTAAAGCAGGAAAAGATAAGGGAAAGTCTAAAATAGCTACTGAGAGACACTTCCTTTTAAAGCTTTCAACTGCCCATCTTCATTGCCAAATCTATTTCTGGTCAATCCATTATTTCTTTCTCATCCAGATAATCCAGAAGTTCTAAATAAAAAACTGATTTGCTTTATGTAGTGGTCAGTGATCATCTTAGCACACTCCAGTCTCCTAGAGGTTGTCAGTGTTTAGCCAATATTTGCTGTTGGCATTGCCATTGTCTCCTATAGCTTGAATCCACCACTATCACAGGAAGACAATATGTTAAAAAAAAAAAAAAGTTGTATTTTTAGTATGGTGTCCTCATTCTGAAAATGCATATAAAGCCCTAATGAAGTTGACAATAGAAACTATTTTTTAAAAAAACATTCTAAGTAGCCAAAGTACATGTGCAAAGCCACCATTTGAACTGCAGGTAGCTGTGTGCAGAGTTCAATGGCGCTGCTGAATCCACAGGTTGCAGCATTCATGAGAAGTACTTTCTATCATCTCAGTCATTTTTGGTGGATGAACTGGCCTCAATTCATCACATATTTCATCAGATTTAGATGGAAACAGCAACACCCTGCAAGGCTCTGAACAGTGTGGTGACTCCTGTAATTACACAGGCCACTTCTCAAATGCACCCCTTGCTTGCTTTCTCCAGAGCCACAAACCAGACATGGGAACTCATGTTACCCCTGCTGTGGTTCAGGTGTGTAACTTTGCTGAAAGACTAAATTTCTGGAGTTTTGGGTAAGACTGCTAGAGCTGAACCAGGAGTTTTCAGTAGCAAATTACTGTAGGGGGGCAGGTGCAGGGGAGTTAACTTAGTAGACTTAAATAAGAAAACCATGAAGCTGTTGACAGGGCTGATGGGTATAATTAACAGAGAAAAAGGAACCTTCGGAGAGAGCTAAAAGTAAACAAGAAAAGGAACACTGCTCAACATTTACTTATAGCTGTTATACAGTATAGGGTATCACTTCCTAAAAGACATTGAAAGAACCAAGCAGAGAAGGCAATTTGATATATATAAATTTTGGAATGGTTAGCCTAGCCTTCCCTCAGTTTGTCTGTGTAATGCTAGGCCTTCTTCCTTCTTTTCTTTTACTCTGGCAGATAGTAAGGAGAGTTTCACCCCAATCCTCTCAATTACACCAAAAGTGGGGGTTTATAGATCCTTTGTGAACTTGCTGCTCTCAATGGAGCCACCCAGACCACTGTGGGAAGTTGTGAGCTGACCAGCTCATCAGAGCCTTGGAGCTGCTTCACCGAGAACAAACATTCTGTTCCTAAAGTGTGGCCTAGGCTGGTCCTCCTTAGCAGCCCAGGTTTAGTGGCTGAGCAGGGTAACACTGTACAAGAGTAAGGGCATGTACTGGCAGAATAGAAATGGTTGTGTTTGTAGAAACCATTCAGAGAACCATTAGAGTTGCACTGTAGCAATGTGGAGCTCATGCAGCTTAGAGCCCAAAGCAAACTGCTTCAGCAAGTGCTCTTATAGCCAAGAGTGAGCTGTCTGGTAATAAATCTAATGAACTGCCAGTCAGTTCTCCAGAATTTGGGCTAATTCAGGTTGTGAGTGATTCACTCATCTGCCACTCGCTATATAACACCTTGGCCAGCCACTGAAGCTAGAGGGATGAGTTTTTGCCATTTGAGTTCAGCGGCAGCAGGTTCTTACCAGTCCACTGCATGCACTCCCTTCTCTTCCCACCTCCACATGTTATGATTAATATCCTGTGCTCTAGTCAGGATTTATTATATCAGATGAT